GTAAGGCGTGGGTTTTAGCGCGGCGCCAGCCAATTTTCATTGGCGCTCAATGAGTGGTGGAAAAAAGGCTGTCACCGTGCCAAAACTTTAGTAACGCCCTGCAGGCATGTCCCAACTGACTTCAGTAATAAAGACTATTTTTCCTAGCGAACTCCTTACAGTATGCCTCGAAATGTGGCCATCTACTCCGGCTTTGATGTTCTCTGTCATGCTCTAGAGAGCTATACAGCGCTGCCTTACCTAAAGGTAACTTACTAGATTCTGCTTCTTCCTCGTAATCTTGAAGACTTCAAAATCTCTTGTAACCTGTATCGGATCAAGAAGGAAGCGTGGTTTGCCTTGGGTCAAAGCACCCCTTACTCATGGGAATCGCATTCAAAATCAGTCTCATGCTCGTTATCTTCTAAAATACATAATGGAGTAAAAGGAGATTTGAACTGACTGTTCCTCTTTCGGACTCACTTGTCCTTTTACTTTACTAACTCCACAGACTTTATTATGTGATAGCTAATATCCTACACCTGAAATATTAAGTGCTTCGTTGACCCTTCCCAAGGGGAGCCTAGGGCTAACGAATAACAGTGGTTCGTCTGGATGGGAGGCGAGACGGACTACCTGCTAACACTTTAACCATCGCTTCGGTCATTGTTCGGTTTGTCTTCATTAATCTGTGCGGCATCACTAAACTCTTCGCTGCTTGCTAACCTGTTTTGAATTGACCCGACCTTTCGGGAGGAAATACTGTAGGTATCAATTTGTCTAGAAAAATACTTATTCCGCGACAATCGTATGGGCGGGGTTTCTTGGCCAGCCATTGAAGCTTCCTTATGAGTGCTAAGAACCTCCTCATTCATTATGGCAAAGATAGCCAAACAGGCATGAGTCTCCGCTCATTTTCTCTTCTTCAAAAAAGGTTCTCAGCAATTTTTGATCCTAGAGGGTGCCTCGTCCATTGCGGCCGGATCTTCGTCCTCTCTACCAAGGATCGAATCCAATTAGCGATGTATGGAGCTTGGAAGCACTGAGGGTGAGACACAATTTAGCATGAAGTGGCACTGAAATCACTTGAAATATTTAGATAATGGGTAAATACTTCCGAAGGAGTGTGTTGGACAGTTCTGATGAGGAGGCGAAAGAGCGTATGCTGCTGGCCAGCACGTTCGCCGGTGTTGGATTCGGAAACGCCGGTGTCCATCTGTGTCACGCTCTCAGCTATCCGATCAGGTCCGTTTTGTTTTTTTGAGCTGCTTTTCTGGCTCAAATAGTTTGTGTTGTTTTATAACCTTGAATCGAGCGACAACCTGTCGCTAAGGAGATTGCTGTGCTACAGGTACTGAGTACAATAATTTATGCCGATATGCTGCCCTCTCAGATGATCGTAGCTGGGAGGCACTCAACCGGGCCATTCTAGTTCCCCTGGCTTTCGGTCGGGCCCACGCTGCGCCGAGAGTCTTCCTACCGACGCTCCTCTCTTCCCTCCCCCGGCACTCTACACGGAAACTTTCCTACCGGCGACTACTGCAATGAGTCGCGTTCTGCGACAAAGGTGCTCGAATATGCTTGAGTTGGTGACGCATAGCTATCCAGTCCTGTGGAAATTTCGGCCCAGCAATTATAACGATATTTGCCGCTGTAAGTTATGAATAAAATAATACGGATTATTGTGAAAAAAAATTAGGAGGAAACTCAATGCAGGGTGGGAGGCCGACAATCTGGTTTTTGTCAGTATGTCGAGTCAATTTGTGAAAAATGACGGTAAACTTCCGCTATTCTGTGATGGAAAACGAATACGTGGTGCTGCACCCAGTGGGGCGGGGGGAGGGATAGAGTTCACCATTCCTTTTGTTTTTTTTTTTTTTTTTTTTTTTTTTTTGTTTTTATTTTGTTTTTTTTCCATTCGAATCTGCGGAATTTTTGTGAATTTTGCCAAATCACGTAGCATTGCAAGAACTATTTATTCTATTCGCTGAGTTCTGTTTCAATTTCAGTTCACAAGGGCATTCGTATTTCGATTCGGACTATCCCTCTAGGAAAGCCCTCATTCCTCATGGACTTTCCGTTGTTACCACAGCTGTGGCTGATTTCGAGTTCCTGACACCTGCATGTCCAGAACGACACGCTGAAGCGGCTCGGCAGTTGGGCGCCACAGTTTCGGTCAGTATGTTCATAGATTTTCTTTGAAAATTTGAATTTAAGAAATGATGTCACTTCATCAGTACCAAGTGAAATAAGGAAATTTAGACCGTTGTTTATTTCGTGACAGAATCAAAGGCGAAGAAAATACCCGAAAAACTAGCCAAAGTAGACTCACGAAGCCATCGATAAACAAATGAAGTCACTTTGACTAAACTCTACTGGAGCTTTCTTTAGATCCAGTGGCTAGCATCTAACGCCATCAAGACCATCCAATTCGATTTCTCAGTTTTATGTGATCATCTGAATGCGCGAGACTACTCCACAAGGCATAAGTTACTTTCTTTCTCCACTCCACCTGCTTTGAACCAGTTATTGTGTTTTTCTAAGCGAGTTCAAGGCAAGGTGATTTGTGGGCGTCAGTCAAATGTGCCATCCCGTGATCAGCGCTGACTTGACGCTGACTCACTATTGATAGAGCCTCAGACTGTCGGAGTTTGCATTCGCTACAGGTGGTTGAGGGAAGTACGCATTTTGTTGCTTCACAGGTGCTGCTAGAAGCTTGTTTACATATTTGCCTATCAGCTCGGCTAACTAGTTGCGTTGACTTTCAGCAGCGCGACTGCTGTCGTAAGTTCCACGGTATCCTGATTGTACGAGACTAGGAAGAACGTAGGTACTAGAAGGGTCCACTCCCTCTTGGGGAATAGCCGGACGCACGCTCTACTGCGGGCACATGGTTGCCGGCCGCCACGAGCTTCGAGGCCTAACTTTAGGGCAGAATTGCCTTGCTACAATTGTACTATGAGGGCAAATGACCACTAAGTTGTACTCGATTACCCATGTGCTTATTGCTATACAAGAGAACAAGCATACTGACGAATATTCTACTAACGAAGGCAAAACACCTTGAAGTGGATTACAATGATAATTGAAAATAAAGCGATTACAAGTGAAGGCATGATTGCAATAAGCATAGACTCACCGCATGGAAGATGGGACGGAGTAATGCACCGGTCACCGGCCACGGATAAGGCAAAGAACAGGAAAACAGTCAGTCGCTCAACAGGATGTCACGTCGGCGGTAAGTAGACAGGCGAGCGGCGGGCTAAGCAGAGTGGCTTCCCGCGCTTTTGGCTCTTTCCATAGCTCGAACGTATACTCCTTATCCCTGAGACGGAGTAGGCGTGGCATTCGAACATGGCACAGAATGGGTTACTCGTGGGATATTTCAGTTTGAGACAACTGTCATCTTGTTCAGTGCTGGACAGAGACATGACCACAATTGTGTAAAAATGAAAATATCTCTTTAAAAGTACAGCCACGGCCACGTTTAGTTCAACTGCGCCTGCGCACATTATCTCAGGGGTATGGGCAACTCACCCTATGGGTGCTGTCAATTCCTTTTCCTCTTGTGTAGAAATTAAGTTGCCTTGTACGAAAAAAATTCGAAGATTGCAGAAGTTCTGAGACAAGGTGTTTTCTGAGTTGTAATGATTTTCGAAGGGAAGATCTAGGTTTTCGTGAAAAGTCCAAATTAAGGACACAGCCGGCAACAGTTACATCGCCATGACGCTATGTGATCAAATTCGTGGTCTTATGCGAGATTTCCAAGTGCCGAACGGTCTCGAAGCGATGGGATTCCAGTTCTCTGATATCGGTAAGCATGATCTATGATAAGCTCTTGGCGCTGTTGAGCTCAGAAGCTGAAGTGGGAGCATTTTGCACCTTCACTAGTTCCTGCTGCTACTACGTTTTAACCAACCTGTAAACCCTTGTGAAGCGCCAAAATTATGCAAGTGAGCCGCTCTGGTGACAAGGAGGAAGTTACAGCTAGTCACAAAACAAACCCGTATGATCTTCCTTGATTGCTACCATCAATCCCAACTAGGCTTCAGTTCTTGAAGGCAGTTGGCACGATAATTTCGTACTGTGCCTAAAATGGTAGCAGGGGTGCCAAATAGTGGGAAAGTGGCGAAAAAGCGAAGTAAAACGGTCAGAAAGCTGCGAAAAAGCCTTCGTTCTTCACGACAAACAGTCTCGACGAGTTTCCGGCATCGTGCCATTACCGCTTCGTAAATAGCGCTGCACTGTGTTGCTCATTACCCATAGCAGCATCGCAGGCCGCCTTCATCATATACCTTCGACTCAATTGTACGCTCGCGAATGAAGCGTTAGACAGCTCAGGAGCGGTCGGATAGTTGTGAGGTCGGTCGTTTGCTCGGTTGGCATTGACAGACTCTATGAAGGTCCTTCCTCCTTGGAAAAGGGCGCCGCGACCGGCTTAATTCGGTCCTGCTAGGCGTGCCGTCCTACCGTTTGGAAATTTATCGTGGCATACGCCAGGGTACAGACATGCGTTGTGGAGGGGGTCGTACTTTTGCTCTGGGAGGGGGTCGTATTGTGAAAGACAAATTTTATATATTTAATAATAAATAATATAATAAATAATATTCGACTACCAAATATTTAAATTATAATAATTATAATTCATGATTGTAGTCGATTTCTTTTTTGTGGAAAATTGGGCGATAGTACTCACACCCTAGATCATTTCGCAACATAACTCAATGCTGGTAGCCATGGTGCCAACTGCTTATCAGTTCATTTTGGGAGAGTGCCTATACCGGAACAGGCTCCTTTTGGCTAAAGATGTTTTATGTGTTACTGAGTATTACATATCTAGTGGCTTGTGCGATGCTTTGGCCTCCATGTGCGTTTTGTGATGATGAGTTATACAACGACTAAAATGTTGAATTTATTTTTAGAAAAGCTAACCGCCGCCGCCTTGAATGCAGTGGAAAACATCGCAGTGACACCGCGGACGGCAGACTATGAAACAATCGCCTACATATACGAGAAATCACTAAGGGTGTACTAGTAACAGCTTAACAAGTTTTGAACTTGTAGGCTAAATTAACAATAATTGTCTGCTTCTATTTGATTTGCCTTGAAACCGGACATTCTGTGAAGAGATGGAAAGAGTACAGAGTAATATGGTCGACATGATTTATTTCTTACAGACTCCAACAGCCCTGACGTTTATGGGTGACAGTTCCATGGATTCGACTCAACTGATGTCTCTTTTTCTCTTTTTTCAAGTTCGTTTCCAAGAGGGTGTCGCACATGGTTGGGAGACCCCTCGAGGGCGGGTATTTTTGGTAGGTGGAGACCGCTTGAGAATTTTTTTCGCCAAAACTATTTTTTCCAGTTGTTGATGAAGAAAATGACTATTCCCCACAAAACCACCGCGAGGTAATGCTATGTTAAGGAAAAAAGTTGGGCAATGGACATGACTATTTAATTTTCTGCAGCTATTCTGTGTTGAATCGTGTCACTGCATGTGGGTGTAAGTTGACAGCATTCTTGCGCAGTTCGACGGGGAGGCAGCGATTTAGTCGCTTTTACCAACTGTTTCACGGTACTTCCAGTACACTCGTGGTGAAGACTTGTGAACTCCTTGAGAAGTTGGAATATAGCGTCGTTTAGACCACACGTACAACGTCTCAATTTAGTAAAATCGAACTAATCAACTCGGGTCGGCACATCGATGGGAAGCAAAATGCCCCCTCCTCCCTCCGTCACCGAACTGCTCCGTACTCACAATATAACATGATGAAACGGCTAGCCGATATCAGCAGCGAACTATCATACTGAAATTTCAGCGCATTCCGAAGATATCAACTTCCTTTACCTGAATCCGATAAGTCTGTCTGCTGTTCCGAATGGAGGTAGACTGAGTGCCGCATTCCAAAAAGCGATTGACCAGCGACGAAAGCTTCATCTGACGCTAACAACCGAGGGGGGGGGGTACCTGTAAGCGTTTGGCATACGAGCTTTGTTAAGTCGTGTCAACATTATACAGGGGGGGGCAAAAAAAAGTCACTTCGACCGAGTCACATATCAGCAAAGTTTTCGCAGCCCAGACAGAGGACGTGGATACGAGTACCAGGGCGGAAGATACCCAAGATGTTCCTCGATAAGCAGGAGCTGGCTCTCGCCCATCACCTTCATGTACACCAAAATATGAAGTCATCTCCAGTCGCAGCCTGACTGGAGAAGACCTTTGGAATTCATGTCACAATGCTTCTAGTGTGGAGTCACCCATGGATAGCTACCTGGAGACCAGTACTCTTGATCTGAAAGACCCCAACATCGAGCAGCTCCGGCAACGTCGCTACGGTCTAGGACATCATCTTCACCACAGTCGCCAAGGCGCGGGTTGATGGTATGGACCGGACGTACCTGGAATGGACCGATATTTTCTTCGTGGACCCCGGACTGAAGGTGAGCGCTGGCGGTTACATCGAGCAACTCGAGAAGAATATCCTCCCCACATGTCGTCGCCCGTACCTTCTTGGAAACTGCTACAGGATTGGGTGAGACACCACATGGAATCGAAGGGCGTTGGGAAAACTCTCGCCATACTTGAGATGGAAGGCGGTTCGAGTTTCTGATAAGAGAAGATCGGGAATATCAAAGCGGCGTACCTGACTTGAATCAACATCAATTACTGGTTAGCGGCGAACCCAATAGGCGCGTCTACAGTGGCGGAGAAAAATCACAACGATCTCGCTGAACTCAGACACCGAACCATGGTTGTGTGGCAGAATCTCTCGATCGCGGTGGTCCAGAAGGCTGTGGCGGAGTATCATGATGGTACTTATTATGCTCGGCGCTGCTTATCGACGGGGGGGGGGGCATTCTGCTTTTCATAGATTTGGCCAAGCCATCTAGGTATCCTTTTCGAGTTGACACGTTTTAGGATGGTGGCTAGACGATCTTGCTCCAGCTTCACAAGCGTTCACAAGTTTTACCAGAGTGAGATTTGTAAAACGCGCGAACCAAGGACAGCAATTCTAATGCAAAATGCCCCCCCCGTCGATAAACAGCGCCATATGCTCTTTAGCATGGTAGTAAAAAGGTCTGATCAGAACTCTATAAAGAGTAACTTATAGGCGTCTCCCAAAGAGGCGAGGAGAGAAGGTGCTCTTTTGTTTATATATTGCCCGCCCCCCCGCCTTGTATAACTTGGTATGAGCCGGAACATCGTGTCTCCCCTTCGACTCCTGTCCAAGCAAATGCGTAATATGAGTTGTTATACATCTGATATATTGATGGTAATCTTCCAACTAGGCCATTTGTCTAAAATTTTGAGGAGAGGGGGGTTGAACAGGGGTGATGCAAGGCGTAATACGGCGGAGTTTGTTCGGCATTTACGTTGTATCCGGTATTTTTTCGATGTGCCTGACAAGCGCCGCACGTGGTGTGGCCACTCAAGTTATAAGCGCCATTCATCCTTTCATCACCATTCAGCGCCATTTATCCTTTCGATTTTTCCTCATACGAAAAATGTGGCGAAGGCACTGAGTTTGGTAGAATAACTATAGTATTTGGAACAACTAAGTCCGGGTTCAAATCGTATTGGAACGTCCTTGCCCATAACTCGGCATACTCTACATATTTATCACACCTGAGGTTCTCCTTCAGTCGCCTTCGCAGTTTATTTAGTAGCTTCTAAAAACAGCTGTTCCAAGCATGTGAATGTGCGACCAACGCAAATTGGTCGGCTTATTCTGTGTAAATTGGAAAAAATTTCTTTTCGTTTGATGGCGCTCCATCGTAGATGAGTGAGGTGGCCGCTATCTATGTTAACGTATGGTGGGGCTTAAAGGAACGCTCGCTCGGCGACAGGTATGGACACTTGCCGTGCTAATGTCCATCGTGTCCATCCAAGGATACACAGGGCACAGCTTCGCGATGTGTGAAACGGTAGTGCCAGTACGACCCCCTTCTCGAGGAAGGGCCTTGGTACGACCCCCCACCTAAATGAGGGTCTCGGTACGACCCCCCTTCCCCAGCACCAAACCCGCTAATTTCCCACATTTTCCAGTTGTCACCCAGAGGTTTACGTCTCCGTCGAGCGGAGGGGAGGGGGTGTAATAACCACTGTGAGACGAGGAAATTTCTTAGATTTTTCCCAACTTCCTACCACCTACCACTTTTCTGGAAGAATTTTCCGAAAATTTTCCTACTTTCCCCCAAAAACTTGCTTGCTCCAAGCGGGGGTGGGGGAGGGTAAATAGTACACATGAAACAGAAAAAATAAATCACGCGAAAAGTCAACAACCGGGCGACCGGGGAATTTTTTCCCAACGCAGCAAATTTCTGTTAAAGCCATATAGATTCCTCCTCCCCCTCTCCTAACAACGGCCAAGTACGACCCCTCCCCAGCCGAAAAGATGACCCTTATGTGACTTTCACACAACGATGCTATACCTTTTAGGGATACATGCTATACCCTGAGGATACATCAGCTCCTAATTTGCGCAAGTACCCTTCACGTCCACACAAGAAGGACCCCCGAGCTCCCAGTCTTGTCTCTACAGGAGGTTTGGCAAGGGGTGTGAGGCAGAAATTGTTTCTGTATTTTGTGCATTACCTGTTAATGAGGTCCCTTTCATGCCAAGTAACAATGATCAAACTTTTGAGGCGCCACGTCAGTTTTTTTCGACTGGTAATTTGAATCCAATACAGCAGAGGATCTCTCGCACGTAAGTTTGAGAGTTTCTCGGGCCGTACTTCGACCGAGGTCGCGAAAATCACAAATTTTAACCTTTCGTGCCCTTGCTCTACGGGTGTTTCCTTCCACCATGTACTTTAACCGAGCAGTCTTAGGAATATTCCCATTCTACAACTGCAACAAGTTTTGGGTAATGGCGAGATGAATCGACTACACCATCTTAGGCTAAGAAGCCGAAAATTGACACGCGTAAATTCCCCTATATCATGTTCAACTCTCTTGGGCCAGCTAATTACTTGGTTGCCCAGTGACACTTGTCCGCATTCCAACAACTCCTTTTCTTCATTTTCAACTCTTCGTTAGAAGCTGCTCCATATGGAGTCTGAGACGGTACCTGGACAAGAGCATGAAATCTCCCTTTCCCATTTGACGAAAATTGGTGGTATTGAAGAACAAAACATTGGAAAGCTTCGTAATGCCTGATGGTGATGGGTGTCATCTGATTTCTTGGTTTCCGTTTCATCAAACAAGGAAGTAGTTATTTGGGGTGCGTGACAGCGGCAAAAATTTTGAATGATTTGGGGCTGTAGAAGGGCAAGCGTACTGGTTATGCACTACATACCTGACCAATACCACGAGTACTTTCATAAAAGTGTGTAATGAACTCTGCTGTGATTCAGGTACATTCGCACTACAGCTAGCTATATAAGTAGTCC